TCCTGCTTCTGGCTTGCAGTCCAAAGTCAGGCAGATTTTTGTTTCACTTTCATCACCAGAGGAATTGCAGCCACTATCTGCTACAAGGAAAGTGAGTTGGGAAACTCCAGTAAACAATGTCTGACGTAGCCAGTTGGTAAAATGACGTACAATTGTCTAACCTTTGCTTCTTTAAACAAAAAATCACTGAAAGGGAAAACCTATCAGCTGCTCAATAACGTGTTATTATTGCACCACAGACAAGATAATGAGGAAGCATTGATCCTGTTGGAACAGCACAAATACATCCTGATAGACCACAACTAGCAGTGGTTGTATGTTCACCTACTGACCTCCAGAAATCAGTGTTTTCCAAAGGGGGCTGTGGGGAAACAAGGACATGGTCCTGAGACCTAGTGAAAGTATTTACTGTGTGAAAGTATTATCAATTATTGAAGAGGAAACCAGACCACAGAACGGGATAAGCTTTGGTCATGTGTTGTTTTGATGTGACCTTCCTAAGGAGAATTTGTATTCTTCATATGGAGAAGCATCTTGGAGCCCCAGGCCAGCAGCTGGCTGTGGTGCCAGGATATGAACTGCATTTACCTGTGTTGAATAGGGAAATAGATCTATTGTCAAGGATTCTTAGTGCTACATGGAGCTGTGTAGTATAATTTAACTGAGAATTGTTTTCTTCTGTGACAGGCCTGAAAGCATTTCTTCCTTATCCCTTATAATTTTTAGTTCAAGTTATTTGTGTTTATTGTAGACCACAGGGGTACCTGGCCTTTTTTAGTCTCCAGTCCACCAGGATCTGTGGTTTCTTTTCCACTTATTCTCACTAAGGATTGTTTCAGCCCTCCACTACACTTTCCCCTGATTTTTTGTCTGCCTCAAAGCACTTCCACATTGAAAAGCCCATCCTTTCATCCCAAGCCTGACATACTGCTGATCCCTGGTTGTGCTCTTTGTATCCCTTCAGAAGGTTCAACTCCTTTCCCTCAAATCCCCAAATAATCCTTTTTATACTCTTTCTCTCTAAGTTCCTTGCCACAGGTGCTTTTGCTTCCACAAACTCCCATGGCCACAACCCCAATCTTACCCCTTGCTGTTTGATACATCTCCCAGAGCTGGAAGATGGAAGTGTTGGCTGGTATTAGGACATCTCTGCTCTTTTACTGATTTCTGTGGTGTCATTTATTCACAGGTTTTGCCAAGTTGCTTCCTCTTCCTGCCTGAGTCTTATGAAGATGGTGAGGTTTTACAGAGCAGGCATATAATTTGTGAGTGCTGTGGCTGCTTCCCTACCAGTAAACATCATAAACCCTTTACATTGACTGATCTCTGTCCTAAAAGCCTTTTCCCACTGCCCTCACAGGAGGGCTATTTAGGACTGCACATTTTGGCCAGCTGGAAGCTTTTTTCTGACGTCTGGCCTAACTGAACACGCATCTCCTTGGTTTCCTGCTGCTTGTCTTAAGTTTCTGTATCTCTCCTGCCTCCATGGCAACATTTTCAGGCTGTCATGGAAGCATTGCTTTGCTCTCATTTTGCTCAGCTAACCATGACAGGCTCTTTGAACGTCTGGTTTTCTGTTCCCCTGGCCAGCCCTTTGCTGCATTCACTGTGGTCAGAGGTCTCTTTCCTGTCAATGTACAATGAGCAGTATGCTCACCACTCCAGGCAGAGCTTGTTAGAGATTGTTATTAAAATGATCTGTTGGGGAATAACTTTTCTGGTATATAATTCAATTTTATCTCCCTTTCTTGTGGCTAGTAACACTCCAGTGGCTGTCTGGCTAGCCAGTGTACAGACAATAATGAGTTTTCCAAACAAAGCCTTTCCAAATTGCTGCAAAATTCCTGATTAATTCTTGGCAGTAATTTTTAATCAAACCTGGAGTGTGTGCTTTGGGTAGTCAGCAGAAAAGCAGAATCTTTCCAAACTGTAGGCATTTCATCTTGCTCTAAAACACTGAGGCACAATCCTGGCTTTTTTAAGTGTGAGAGAATTGGGAGAAATGCCCCCCAGGTAAGAGCACCTTTACCAGGTAAGGGCATGGTAATGCCTGTAGTGCTTAGGGGGGATGCTTTCTTCTGGGCAAGGCTGTTCCCACTGTGCAGACACTCTGTGAATATTTCTGCAGCTCAGTTCCTCTTCCCAAAAGAGTGATGTGCAGGAGGTGTGAGAAGACTGCAAAATAATTTGATACAGTGATAATGTCAGCACACAGGAAAGTGGAGCCTTACCCTAAAGCATTAATTAAATGTTTTGATGAAATGCTTGCAGAATACTTCACGACGCTTCTTTAGATGGAAATTGCTGTAGGAATGTACAGCATTGTTAGAAAATAATTTCAGGTGATTGTATCTGCATCCTGTAGCAGTTGAAGTTCTCACTATGGAAGCAGGGCTTGAATGACAGCCAAGGCAGTAACATCAGGATTATAGATACAAATTGCTGCAGACACATACAGACAGAGACAACTGAGATTCCTTCAGGACAAAAGTCTCTCAATAATTTTTTTCAGCATTATGCAATCTATTCAATACCTTCTTTTTCTAGATAAATCTGATTTGGAGCATTCCCTGCAGTCTAATTGGCATGAATGTCCTCAGTGCTCAAATTAATTTTGTCCTAGTAGGGTGAACGTTTATCTCTTCCTTGTCCAGCCAATGCAGCATTACAGGTTAAAACTCAAGTAATTTTTGTTGCTGTTAAATAACCAACATTGCAGCAAGATAGATAAAATGGCCCCTTTTTGATAATCCTGTTTTCCATGTAAATCCAAACTAGGAAGGAGATTGTCTTAGATGAGAGCAAATTGGGAAGAGCTCTCGGGCTGTCTGATCTCTCTTGTCTGCTTTGCAAAAAAAGAATCAGATTAATGAATGTAATCAGATTAAGGCTGAAGAAGGGAACATATCTGGGGGGCATCAGAACTCTGCTGATACCAACAAGCTCTATGGAAAATCAACATTAAGGGCCTAACATTGCTCTGTAATTTAATTTAATGGCAGCAAATAATGGGTTTCAAAGAAGTCCTGAGTAGTGGCAAGAGGAGCCTGGACTTCCAGAGGGCAGAAAGACTTGAGTGAGCTGGTAAGTGGCTCTAAGGCCCTGGGTTTGGGTGAATGTTGCTTGGGGTGATGGTGACTTCCAGAATCCTTTGGCACCCTGGCTCACAGCCAAGCAGTGTGGGCCCTCTTTGGGCACAGGGTTTGGTGCAGTTAAATCTACCTAAAACCATCTCTGCTCTCAGTCTGCTGTGTTTTGTACAGAAAAACAATGCTGAAAAAAGGAGGATGTACCTAGAACAGGCCAAGATTCAGAAGTACAAGAAGGAGAATGACAAAAAGGAGACATATCTGAAAAAGGAGAGGAAATGTGGGAAAACAGAGTTAGAAAGAGGGCATAGAAGGGAAAATTATTTATAGATCCTTAATGTTGATTTTCCCACTGCTTCCAGCAAACCAAGAGCAAGATGCACCATGCCAGTGCAGCAGTGTACTGTGGGTCCTGACATGGCACCACCCCACCTGCTTGTCTCAGTAGAAGAGGCATTTTAAGCTTTCTAAGAGAAAGCAAGAAAGAAATGGAAGTGTGAACTTGAGGGAGAAAGGAGGTCAAGAACTTGATGGGAAAGGACCTCATTATGGTTTCTCTTCAGATCCATTTTCTATTTCTTCGGTGCCAACTGTATTTTTCAACAAATAAAACAAAATTGGATTTTTAAATTCTGCTGGTTGTTGCAGATTCCCAGCCTGTGCTGGCATCACTGGGTTTCTGCTTTCCAGCATGAAGTATATCTCTTTCTAAAAATGCCCTGGTTTTTTTCTTGGTGCAGTTATTACCTTGTTTGATTTTGAAGTTCTCAGAGACACTTTTCTGGGGCAACAATGGTCTGTTTGATGCAAGGTCTTCAAGATCAAAAAGGAAAGAGGAATGTAAGAAATAAGAAATCCAAGACCTGAAATGGGTGCTGCCCAGTTTTCTGAATTTTTTTAATGTCTGGATGATTTGTCTAAGAATTACCAAGTTCTAACTGAGGTTTTGTCCCTGCTTGTGATATTTATAAATTATACCCCCATGTGTCCTTTCTGGATTTATTAAGCTGTGAATGGATATTGTAGATGTGGCCTTTCAGCTAGGGCGTGTAAGGTCTCTACTCATCACTGCTTTTCTTGAATTTTTTTGGCATTCAATTGTCTTGGAAACATCTCTGGCTCTGTAAAATGTGGTTCACATCAGTTGTTGGGATCAAACACCGATGCACAAACAGATCCATATGACAGGTTTGTTTTTATGTTTGTTTTCATACACAGCAAAGCTAAAATTAAAGGGACAGATGGTGGGGTGTCTGTTGTCTTTTCTGTGTCTCCCATATTCTGCTAAATGGAGATTTTGCATATCTCAAATAAGTATTTCCTTTTTGGAAGGGTGAGACAATTAAATATGAACAAAAACCCTGAGGGGAGCTACTGGGTCATCATCCCTGGTTGCCATGAAAGAATGGGAAGGCAATGATGTGGGATGTGGAAAGGTCTGGTGTCAGTGGTAGGTGCTACAGGTCCTCTCACAGGGTCTGCACACTGCCGGGGGTTTGAATTGCACAGGAGCAGGTGACTCCAGCTGGTTCCCAGGTGATGCAAGAGGTGCAAATCCAGGCAGATCCCTTGTCAGCCGCTGAAAAGTTGTGTGTGTGTGAAATTTCTGGGCTTTATCTGCATTACAGTGTGTGTGTGCATGCGTGTAAGCTTTCTGCAGAGCTCTAGAGCATGTGTGTCATGTGGGGTGAGGCCAGAAAAGCAGATGTCCTGACCATGCCCCTCCTACTCGGGGATTAGAGATGCTCAGGGGACAGCAGAGAGAAGCTGGGACACACTTCCCTGACTCACTGCCAGAGACAGCAGCAGCTTCTGCAGGTTCAATAGGCTTCTGCTCTTTGGTCAAATAAAACCCTGCAGCTCCATTTCCAGCAACCATCCCCTTCTTTTGGTTAACCAGAGAGGAGGAGGATGGCCTATGCTGAGGAAGACAGGTAAGGTGCTGTGAAATAGGGGGTGCACGGACGTCCAAGCTGGATGGGACTAACAAAATTACATCTCTTTTCTTCACCTTGTTTCCTTTCTACTGGGCACTCAATAAATGTCAGACAAAGGCTGCTCAGAAGTAAACATCTTATTACTGGAGAGCAATCTGGCCATCTGCCTGTGCAGGTGCTGGTATTATGAAATATGGCAGCGAGTAGGTGACCTTGGGAGAGGTTATGGGCCAGAAGAGGCAAATATCTCCTGTGGAGAGGCACAGACTGTGAATACTTATGGCCATGTGCCCCCAAACATAATGCTTTAGCTGTTTATTGGGATACGTCTGCTTTTTTGCATAGATTTGCTTTCAGCCAACTTAGAAGCAAATAAGAGTGTGGTTTTTTTTCATGCCATAAAAGATCTGTCACCGGTGACAGTCCTGTGTTTTGCAACAGATGTGTTTCTCCAGTGGATGACAGCAATCACAATAAAGGGGATTGTGTTTTCAGCTGATCCTGTGATTTAATCCAAAGCGATGCTACCGAGCACTATTATTAGGTGTGCATTGTTAGAGCAGCTAGAGGGGCCTTTGTGCTCCATGTATTAATTCAGGCTGTCAAAAAGCTTGCACAGGCCTTGTGCTCTTGCAGTTCCAGGATGAACACTCTGCTGGGTGACCCACGGGTCAAACTCCCCCTTTGCTCCTGCTGAGCAGGTATCTCCCTTGCATTCAGAAATTATCAGTTCTTGCCAGTCCCTTTGATGTCACCGGAAGGTTTCTGAAAGCGAAATACTGCAAGCAGATTAATTTTGGCATCGCTGTGCTCTCAGCACTGGGGACAGCTCTGATGTGCCCAAAGCCTTTGGGAAGGACAGGGCTCTGCCAGGCCCCTGTGCACTTGCTGGAGCTTCTTTCAGGGAAGGAAACATATGCAGCACTGGAGATTTACTTCTTTGGTTAAGAAGTATTTTAATATCTTCTGTTTAAAAGGGGGAAAAAAATCCACCATAACTTGGCATAGCTCAGTCAGTCCTGATATCTTCAGCAGACATTGAATGGGTTCCATCCCACATTCCTAAAATTTCTGAGGATATAGGAATAATATCCATTCTCTAATGTTATTTTGCAATGGTTTATGCTCTTCAAAAAAAACAAAAACTGAAACAAGCAGTATTATGGTCACAAGGAAGAGCAGATCCTGGTGACCTTGTTCTTTTCTCCTGCCTGCCACAGGTATGTCAAAACCTTGGGCATTACATATAAATTCTCTTGGTTCCCTTGAATTTCTAAACAAGGATTACAGTTATTCAACAGAGAAATTGGGGGGAATTGTTCATTAATGTATGTAAAGCACTTTTAAAGCTTTTGTCTGCGAGCAAGTGATAACGTAGTCAACTGTAGTCTTTATTAATGTCATTTTCACAGCTCCTGCTTATTTCAGGAGCTCATGATACACTTAGAAAATTCAGTATGTGATGGTAAATAAACTCTCTCATTTCCAAACTTTTCCTTTGAAAAGTACTTCAGCTAAGTATGACTCTTCATTTTAATCTATGCGTATGGAAGTTATTTCTTCCCACTGGATTGCAAGTTTATGATATTTTTGGGTATTTTTGACATTGCAGTTTGTAACTAGGACTGTAAGTTTGATGTATCTTATGCTGGATAGGACTTAGAGTAGCAACTAGACAGTCAAGAGGCTCACAGAAAACACCTGTGCAGTAACTACTGACCCTGCCAGTATAAAGAAAGAAAAAGCATAGAATTGAGAACCTTTGTTTCAATATCTGGTACTTTAGTTGGAGGAACCAGTTATACACAGTCAAATCCTCTTAGTGGCCTGAAACCTCCTGCAGTGAGGAGCTCCTCACCTCTGAAAGCTTTTCTGTCCGTCCTCTAAGACTGCTGAGAGCAGCATCACAGCATTACTAGGGTTTACAACTCTGGAAGAAAAAGACTTGACAAAAAAGAACCAAAAGAAACATTCCTGGATAGATAGTGACTGCTCATCAGCACCTCCAGTCAATTTTACATCACCCACAGCCTCACAGTATCTGATTTTCTCACCTCTCAATAATGAGATCAACTTTTCATAGAGAGGACTGCGGACCCTGCCTGTGGGTTCAATCCAGGACCCAGTCCTCTACCATGTACAATCATTAATTCTGCTCATCAATGGTAACGATTGAGTTGCTTCCAAGAACTATTAGTACCCCTGCTTTTGAGGATAGTTTCCAATCAACCTTGATATTGACTTTCAGAAAGTCTCTGCATTGTCCTATTGAAAACAGGATTATGGGATTATTTTGCTATTGATTGTGTTTCAAAACTGTGATTAAGGCATCTGAATACTGGGCCAAGAGGTTAAAAGTTGAACTCTTCTCCTTTCCCATGAGACAGATGTACAACAGGCACTGTAATGCCAGCTTCTATCCCACCTTCAGGCAATGGGGCTCCCTGCTGGATTAGACTTTTTTTAACCGAGGTATTTGCCAAGTCCCCCTCTTGAATCACTTTAAACTCTGGAGCCCAAATTCCTGGTTTTCACTTGTTTTGATGGAGACTGATGTCATTGGGCCTCTTGGCTATGTCTGGGCTGCAGGTGTGATCCCATGCCCACTCTGTGGGATGACTAAGATCTCCATGTTTATCCTTCTGTACTGAAGGCACGAGGTATCGAGAGGGTGGGTGGCTGACATGTGGTACCAGCCTAGATGGAAGTGGTGGGAGCTGATGGCACTCAGCACTTACAGAGATTGGCTTCTCCATCCCTGCAGATGATGCTTGACCCATGTCTCAGAAGTTCACCTGAATCTTTACCTACTGCAGATGACAGTGTCTACTCCTTCATCAGCACAGCATTCCAGATCTGCTGTTCAGGTGTCTTCAGAACTCCACACATTTGTATTTCCTCATCACAGGCTGGACATCCCCATGCACACTCATATAGGTTGGAATTTCTCAGTCTAATTGTGCTTTTCCCTTTCTTCAGGAACTCAGGGGAGACCAGAGCCCATCAGAAGCAGGAGTGGTTATGCCTTGTGACATTTCTGTGATCTAGGTATCATTAGCCATTCTTCATCTACAGAAGGGGATTCAAATGATTTCCCTGTAGTCGGGGGTAAAATACATGAGATTAAAAGCGATGCATCTTCAATAATAGCAGTGAAGCTTCTATTATTATAGTCTTAATGAAATTTCTTTTTCCCTGCACCTTTTATCCTTTGAAGCTTGTTCTTTGAACGGGTTGGTAAGTCTCCCTGGCCTGTTCTCGTCCTGCAGAAGCAGCTATGAGGTGTGCCAGGAAGGGCTGGTAAGTCTCCCTGGCCTGTTCTCGTCCTGCAGAAGCAGCTATGAGGCGTGCCAGGAGGCAGCAGAGTGGCTGCGTGCCCGCGCTGCCCGGCGGCCCAGGGTCGCCATCGTCTGCGGCTCCGGGCTGGCAGCTCTGGCCGATGTGCTGGACAGCAGGACAGTCTTCCTATACGAGGACATCCCCCACTTCCCACAGAGCTCAGGTGAGCACAGCTCAGGCCATCAGCACCCCAGCCACCAGCAGCCTGCAGCACAGCCTCACACGGGGATCATTCAAGTCTGCAAACCAGTCCCATGCTGGCGAAATATGTGTTCACAGTAAAAAAACATAAATATCGTAGCACAGATATAGGTATTTGTGGCCACAATTCTCTTTACAGAGAAAAGCTAAGCACAATTTCCCAAGAATTTCTTCTAGGAAAGGCAGCAAGAAAACCTCAGAGAAAAAGGGAAAACAATTCTTATCTCTGCTTGCTGCTCCTGTTGTTTTGCACCTGTGGAATGAGTTATGGAGATTGTTTACCCAAAGTGATTTGTCAATTAGATTCTGCTGAAGACTGTTTTGTTTCCTTGGCCAATTGGAAAAATTTGTGTCCTGACTATTGGGAGATAGTCACAAGTTTTCTTTAGTATTCTGTAATACTTCTATAAAAATTCTATGGTATTCTATAATAATTCTGTAATATAATTATAGTATAGCTGTAATGTAATATAGTATAATTTTAATAAAGCAAGTGTTCAGCATTCCAAAGCCTTAGAGTCAGATGCCAGTATTTCCTTCACTGGGGGCCCTACTTTTCAATAGGTATTTATTTATTTATTTGATTTCCAGCTCCTGCTTTTGCAGTGCTTGGCCCTGCAGTAAAGCAAAATCATCAACAAACAGATCCCTCTAAAGTCAAGTTCCTTGAGACCTGTAACTAAAATGCTGCTTTGTTAATTTCCAGTGTCAGGGCACGTTGGCAGATTGGTGTTTGGGGAGCTGAATGGGCAGCCCTGCGTGTGCATGCAGGGAAGATTCCACTCCTATGAAGGCTACTCTCTCAGCACGGTGAGTTCTCCTTAAGGAAAATATTCACCATGGGGAGAGGTGTTGTAAAAGCTGCAGAAGTGACTGCTTGCCTTGCTATCTAGCTGCAGGATGTTAGCTCTTGCAATGAACTTACAGTGCTCTTGAAATGAGTCTTTCTTAGATTTCAGGTCTGTCCCCAGAAAATAAAATTGGGAGTTCAAACCAAGAGGTAGTTGGCTTCTGCTTGGTGCAGGTGATGCTGCACAGGCACACAAATTGGCTGACCCTGCTGCTCTCACAGAGGGAAATAGTTTATCATATAAGGCAGATTAATTTACATGCTTTAACTTAGTCAGTTTAATCATGATTTAAATCAGCAGTGAGAAGACTTCGATAAGAATAATCTATTTCAATCTTCTATTGCATTTATATAGTTTAAAGCTTTCTTTTTCCCTAGAAAAATTCCCAGGCTACTGCAAGCTGCTATAACTTCCCAGATAACATACTGGGATGTGTGGAGATTTATCTTACCTACCACGCACATATATATTTTTCTGCTAGAAAACAACAATAGTATTTATTTATTGGCTTTTTTTTTTTTTTTTTTTTGGATAGCTCTGTGATTTTCCTTTTTTTGCACTGAGGTTATTTGCATTTGGATATAAACCGTAATTTTTGGCACCACCCAACTTCTTATAGAAAACCAGCTATTTTAAAGCCATTCAATACAAAGTTAGCTTTATCAAGACGTGTTTGTCTATTAAAATTAACTTGCTTCTTGAAGAAGTGGTGCCCATTACTAGGAAATATTTTGCTCACAGTAGCATTTCATTGATAGCAGGCATCATCCAAATTCCTGACTCCACAAAATCAAACTTCTTAAATTTTTTTTCTCCAGCTCCCAACTGTTCCTTAGCTTTGGATTACTCTCCAAGTCCATGTGCATAAGTAGTTACTTCAATCAGCACAGTGGCTTGATCTCTGCAAGACCTTGGCAGTGAGCAAAAATTATCTGCATGTTTTTTCTGTACCACCTTTATTTGACCTTAGTGCAACTGTAGGAAATGTGGTCTTGGATTTTAATGCGAGATTTTGTTTCATTATGTTTAATTTGTTTAAATAGCATTAACATTCTATTTAAATTAGAGGAATGTTTAAAATTGCAGAAGGTTGTTTTGTCTCCATATGCAGACTCTTTGCATCCACAAATTGTGATACTACAAATGCAGTAGCAGTGGCTGTCTGCTCGCTGTGACACTCATTGCACATTGGCCTTTGGTTCTTGCAGGTCACCTTTCCCATCAGGGTGTTCTTTCTCCTGGGGGTGGAGATCTTGATTGTCACAAATGCTGCTGGAGGACTGAATCCCCACTTCCAAGTGGGGGACATCATGTTCATAAGGGATCACATCAGCTTGTTTGGCCTGGGAGGGCAGAATCCCCTGCGTGGACCAAACGATGAGCGGTAAGAAGGCATCGTCTCCATTGTTGCCAATTAATCCTTTTTTCCTTCAGCCATGGGCTGGGACTGCCAGTTGTGCCTACTGACAAATGTTTACTGAGAGGCAGAGTTTGGCTCCAGGTAACCTCAAGGGAAGAGTTACAGCAGGAGCTGTGTGTGCTGTGCCACCTGCCCTGCCTTCCCTTGGCTGTTGCTTACTTGTGCAAGCCTACAAGGAGCTTACACACAAACCCCCAGAAGGTTTTGTTTTGTACAAGTAGGCTTCTGATCCTTCTCCTGACACGACCAGCTGTACCATCTGCTAAAGCCACCCACTGCTCTTCTTCTTATCACTCCCTCTCTCTGCTGGTTCCTCTTAACTGAGCAATCAGTGAACTGTGCTGTCCCCAGCCTGGGTTTATCAACAGCCATTTCTGGTGTGATGGAATGGGTACAGCAGAGGCCAGGCAGTAACTGGAGGGCAGAGCAAAGATAAAACCTCTAAATTTCCTGATTACCACTGCTATATCCAGGTCTCCAAACTGGAGTGCCTCTGTATTCACTGAAGGCATTGCTCTGATGAGAGGTGGTTGTCTTGGCACCTTCTTCAGAGACCTTGAGATCTACAAGAGCCACCTGCTGCTGGCTGAACTGGGAAATCAGGTTTCCTGTACTGGCTGTGTAGCAGAATCTTTGCCTTACTGAGAGTGCAGAGAGGAGCTTCTAGCATATCCTCACTCCTGAACTGCAGTTGCCACCAGATTTGGATTTGTTTTGAGCAAGATGCTGGACTAGATGACCTCAAAGTCCCTTCCAAAATGAATTTATGATCCCAAAATCCTTCCAAGACACCATCAGACTGGTGAGGTGGAAGGCCCCTTGTGAAAAATGGATGTGTTTGCAGGGCAGGCATCTGGATTGACCTCAGATCTTTCCAGAAAGAAAGTTCTGCTGAGAGTAAGGTGCCCTGCCTGGCTTTCAGTTAGCTCCTTCCTGATGTAACAGCAGACCTGGCTCTTGCTTCTGAAAGGATCTGAAAGGTGTTGGCAGCTGCCTCAGGAGAAATAATCACTGTGCTGCGATTCCATGGCAAGAGGACAGTACCCATCTGAAGTGGAACATCTTTACATTTTTGTAGGTATTGCCGTGGGTTGGAGGAAAGTGATCAAAAGCAGAGAAGCTACGTGGAGTGTTTAAAGCTCTCTGGGCTTGCATAATTGCTCTGGAGCAGGAGGAGAGGCTCCAATCAAACAACTGCATCTGGACAGTGTTCAAAGGCAGCATAGCTGCCTCATTGCCTCCCCAAAGCAGCTGCTTGGTGAAGACTGCAGGGCTCTGGGAGGTGACTTCTGTACTGCTGACCAAGGCATCAAAATGGGCAAGAGGTCTTTACGAATCAGGTTTCAAAGTATTGCAGAGATTTAGCTTAGCAAACTCCTAAAATCCTGTCCAGCTGAGCTACCAGGAAGGATTTATCTAAGCACAACAGAGCAAAACTAGAGGCAATGAAGTGATGTGGAAATAATATTTTTTTAATAAATTAGAGATTGGGCTTCTGCATTGCTGGCCATCCTTCAGAAAAGGGAAGCAATTTTCATGGTGATGAATACTTATTACCTTAGACCAGAAGGGGAAGTTTGTTTTTATTTATGTAATATTTAGTGTTTATAAAAACAAAATAAGCCACCTACTGCCCTAAGCATTCAGCTGGAAGAACATGTAAACAAGCAGAAGCTTTAATAGCATAAATGAGGGACCTGGTCCACTCCCACTGATCTGCATTGGTGAACATGGCTGGGAGTTTATTTTCCAGGTCTCCTCAGTGGCAGCATAACAGTGTTTGCCATCTACTCCTGCAGGATTCACTCCAGCAGGATTCACTCCAGCAGGAGCAGGACTGAGCTGCTATTTTAAGACCAAAAGCAAGAGATCCAGTCTTGAAGCAGAAGATGAAAGCTACCTAAAATATGGCCCTGGAGCTCCAAGATGTAAAGTAGCTGCCTGCTGTGTTGGGCCTTAAATATAGGGACTGATGCTCTATCAGGCCAGGCTCAAACCTCCATCCAGGGACAGCCTGAGAGACTCTGTGCCTCAGAGCAGCCACTGTCTGGTGGGGAATGTTTAAAAGACAACATGAGCAGTTACTGGAGAGAGAATGAACTGGCCATCAGTGCTCCCTAGAGACAGGAACCCTTGAAAGACCATTCCAGAAGGGTTCCTGCAGAAGGGAGGTAGTGCCAGACCTTCCAACAGTCTTGGATGACTAGATCTAGCAGGAATGTCACCCCCAGGTAGGTACCCCATTCCTGGAAAGATTCAGGGTCAGGTGGGACAGGACTCTGAGCAACCTGTTCTAGCTGAAGATGTCCCTGCTCACTGCATGGGTTTTGATGAGATGGCCTTTGAAGGTCCCTTCCAACCATGATTGATGGCAGAATTACCTGATGATAAGAGTGGAATGAGAGAGATTGCATCCATGGCAGGTCTGCCCTCAACACTTCCCTTTTCTCCAAAGAATGACCATCCCTGGACTCTGACAGAGGGAGCACTAGCACGATCACACAGCTGTGTCCTTTACTGCCTTTCAGGTTTGGAGTGAGGTTTCCCTGCATGTCAGACGCTTATGAACCAGATCTGCTCAGCCTGGCCATGGAGAGTGCCCAGGAGCTGGGGTTGCTGAGCTTCACCAGGGAAGGAGTGTACTGCCTGCAGGCTGGGCCCAGCTACGAGACCGTCGCCGAGTGCCGCCTGCTGCAGGCGCTGGGAGCCGACGCTGTGGGTGAGCTGCCAGGCCGGGCTGCCAGAGCTCTTGGAGCACATGGATTGAACAGTTAATTCTGCTCAAGGCTGACTTGCTTCGGTCTTTGACTCTCTTAAGTCTCCTGGGGCTGGAGAAATGAGCTCTGTGTATTTCTGCTTCATTCTGCAGTGGCTTAGTGCAGCTCCTGGGAGGATCTGCACAAAGTCCCTGTGCTTACAGCTGAGCAGGACAGGGATCCCAGCACAACTTTGTGTTTATTTCCCAAACACAAAGTCTCTCATGCTCAGATGGTTCCAATTCAGGATGACTGAGTGGGGCTCAATAAAAATGAAGTCTTTTTCTAGTATTTTTCTTCTAATTCTGACATTGTAAAGATTTTCACTGTGCTTTTTCTCTACAAACCAGCCTTCCTTATGAGTCTTGTTTAGGGATGGTAATCATGGATACCTTCCCAAAAGTGTAAAAGAAAACTAAGTTCCATGATCCATATGATTCCTCCAGCTATGATTCCATCCATGACCCCTGGCTCATGGAAGTCTGTATATGAATACCTGCAGATTCACTGTGTGTGAGGAAAGGAGCTCCCCTCAAAGCCATTTTTATTTGCAATAGCTTTTTTAGCCAAGGAAGAGCCAAATGACACAGCACATCAGTACTTCCTTAGCAAGTCTGCAAGCAGTCTGACACATCTTGAGGAGGGAGGTGTGGCACAAGGATCAAATGCAGGAGGTTTATTGTGCTGAGCAGAGTTGTAACTGTAGTCTGCAGCTATCTGAGCCTTGTACATATCACAGCCTTTAACTACTACAGAGTTCAGACACAGAGCTGGGGGGAGTGAGACAAGGGCGTGTGCTTGGAGGTAGGTTCATGCAGCCTTGGAGAGATCTTGTTTTGGTGTAAATCCTGACTCATTCTGGTCCTTTCCTCTCCTCCTGCAGGCATGAGCACTGTCCCAGAGGTAATTGTAGCCAGGCATTGTGGCCTCCGAGTCCTTGGGATCTCCCTCATCACCAACAAAGCAGTGATGAGCTACAGCAGCCAGGAGAAAGCCAACCACGAGGAGGTGCTGCGCATCTCGGTGCTCCGCGCTGAGGCCCTGCAGAAACTGATCTCACACCTCCTTGGCAAGCTGGGGGAAAGCTCAGACTCTCTATGACCTCCGGCCATCGATCCTTCATAGCATAACGTGTGTGAACACTACCAAGTGTTGGGGGAGAGCTGTTGGTGGACTGTCCCTTTCTCTCTGGATTTTAAATTGATCTTTGATCTTTGTGCTTTATCTGATCAGGTGCAGAGCTTCACTTTGAATTTTGCCAGGATGATCCCCTCATTTATAGCCAGTGACCAAAACACCTTACTGGCACTTCAAGACATTCGCAAACCCCAGTGAAAGCAAAGCCCCAGAGACTGTGACCTCCAGCTGTCTCTCTTGGGACACCCTCCTGCCCCAAATCTCTGCTCCCCATTGCACATAAGCAGGTCAAGGGTTGGTCATGGGGCTTGCTGCCTGCTTTGGTAGAGCCTGGTCTGAAACCAGAGGAAGCCCACAAAAAGACTATGTTTTGGACACATGAAATGGGCCAGGCTAAAGATGAGATCTGCCTGGAACAAGCAATGGTGCAGAGCAGGTGAATTGCAATTGATTTTACAGCTTGGAAAACCACTGCATTGCCATGAGGTTGTGGGGCTTCCCCTCCCAGAAGGTCTCCCAGAAATCCCACTCCTTCCTCATCCTTGGCACCTCATGACCAGCTGCAGAGCTCAGTTGCTGTTTGCTACAATGCAGCACTTCCCCAGCACTCCTCACACCTCCCTATTTTGTTTCATTGCCCAATTTAGCAGGACATGAAAATTCAGCTCAGTACAAGGCAAGGCTTACCTGTACACCTTGTAAACATTGCCAAGCTGGAAACAGAGTCCAGCTCTATCTCTCCCTGGTTTTGATCAGTTTCTGGATGTCTTGGAGATCAGTGCCTTTAGCACTGCAGATTGGTTTTCCTGTTGGTGCCCAAACCAGAGAGATCTGTTTGATCCCATGTTTCACATGAGCTTTGCTGCTGTCCCTGCAGCAGATTTTGGAGCAACAACGGTTTGTGGATTTTAGCAATGTGAAATTACAAGGGAGATATTTTGAAACAGATATGATATTTTTCTGGGACTTTTTGGGTCCTCTTACATAAAGCAAATGAACCAAACAGTGACTAAAGGACAAACAGGAGAGGTTCTCCCTTACCAGTGTGCTGATGGTCTGTCAAGAAAGGGGGAACATTCACCAGAATGGTGCATTATTCATTGTTCCTCAAAGGTCAAGCTGAGCTGTGGATGCAGCTGGATGTGAAACAGTGACAGTAATTATTAGATAACCTTTTTCCCTTCATTTATCTTGTAGTTCTCTATAAAGCCCATCGCTGTCATAGCTAAATGTTTTTAGTTGACTCAGTGGTCTGAACTGAAGACACCCATCCAGTCATGGAGAGCTCCCAACCTGCCTTCCTAAATTTAGCTGACCAGTTGTTTACCATTGACACTTGCCCTCTGTCACAGCCTTCAGCCTTCCATGACATTTCTTCCACTTTTTTCCAGATGGGTATTTGCTTGAAGCCTTTCATGCTGCAATTACTGGTGTCAGCTGCAGTATTCATGGTGCAGATGTTGCCACCAGGAGGAACAGTTGTGCTGTGAATGTTTTCCATTACATGGTAGCACTTCAGGTGTAGGGGAGCCCTTGGGGTGGCCCCTTGTCTCCTCTTGGGCAATGTTACCTGTGGTCAGCCCTGAGAAATACCTGTCCAGCCTGGTCTGGAGGATTTGTGGAAGGGAAGGGATTCATTGCTTGTGCTTTTCTGGCAGAGTCACTTGTTCAGCAGCTCCTGGCACTTGGAGGAGCCCTCAGAGGCAGCAGCTTTTCCCATTCTGTGGGTCTGACTGTCAGGACAGTCTCTGGGACCAGTTCTGGTGATGATCTGCAAGGGGAGAGAGGCTCCAGCTCCATCTTTCACAATGCTGTTCCCTTTCCAGATCAAGCAGGAGTGAAGTGCTTGTCAAGGGGGACAGCACAAGCAGGGAAATATGAAAAGTGGCAGATGTGCAGAGCAAGAAGGAGCCACTTCTACCTGCTCCCTTTTCAGACTTGTCCCAGTATGAGCTTGTTACAGGGCAGGGAGAGAGCAGATAATTTCCCCTGCCTAGAAAATGGTGCTTCACATTCATCTAATTAATACTTGGTAAATACAAAGTCTCTCAAGTGGGAGTGGAAGGCAGCTGTGCAGTGTGCTGTAGCTAGCAGCAGCCAGGGTAGCTAAGGCTGGGATTTCAGCAAACTCCATTAATTAATCAGAGTCAGGCTGGGCTGGGATGTGAAGGGAAGCATCCAAAAAAACCTGCTGTTGTGCTGGTACTTCTCAGGCAGGGTTTGAGATGATGAGGAGCTTGGCAGCAGCATCTGTTTTCAGCAGGCCAGGTCTGCTCCTCTCTCCAGCTGCACCGGAGGCAGATACCGTGCTCTTGTGTCTGAATACAGCTGAAATGCAACTTAAAATTGAACCTGAAAATCACCCTACAGTTAAATCTTCAGCAAATTATGTCTGTTTAAAAAAAAAAAAAATCTAAATTGCATCTGAGCCCTTAAATTGTTTGGGGCTCTTCTTTCAGCTGGCCAGAGTTGGTTTGGATGGCCCAAACTTTGCATGTACATCCTGGTTTTTGGACCTGTCCATGATAAGAGGAAGATGCCCTGGGCACTTGGGGAAGGATCTTTTTCATTTGCAGGTGAGAGGAGAAATACAAAACAGAGTGAGCTCATCTGGCTTTTTAATGCAACTTTGTGTTCTTTTACTGCTGATGAATTCCAAAAGTCTGAAATACAGTGATACAAAATGAGAAAGACATGTGGGGAAAGAACTGTAAGGGAAATAAAACCTGCTGTGATCCTGAAAACTGGTTTTGTTTGCTGTGCCAATGCCACTGGTTAGAAAGAAGGGAGGTGCTTAACTGCTTCCCCTACATCCAACCCCCAGGCTGGAGGGTAACCCAGAGAAACCACACAGAAGCACAGAACCACATCCCTGGGGGACCAGAACTCAAGCTCAGGGTAAGCAGGACCAACATTTGACCAGCACTTGGCACAGGTATTTCTTACTGATCTCACTTACTGACAAACTTATGGCAAAAATACCAAGAACCAAAGTACCTCGCCTTAACTTCTGAGCAGCTGGGAAGTGCAGTGGGCTGTGGTAATGCCAGAGCAGCAAGTCATCTATGCTGGAGGCAGGACACAGCTCCCTTCATGCTCTGCCTTTTGTGCAGTGCTTTTGGTGGTTTCTGGCAACATCCATGGCTGAAATGACAGCCTCAGCTTCCTTCATTCCTGTACTCTGTGCCACTTACCTGCTTCTGAAGTCCAGGGCATTGTGGTCATAGGGATAAGCTGAAAGATGCATGAAAAGCTAAGACACCTGGCAAGGGGTAGAAGAGCCCCAAAGACATGATGATCCTTGGTGCCTCAGTGCTGTGGCTGGCACTGAGCCCAGGTGCTGCCTGATTAGGGAATGCCACCAGCACAGGCTGTCCCATGTGGCTGTACCCATGGCAAAGGGACACATGGAGCACCTGTGTCAGTGCAGGGCAGAGCTGGCACAGCTCCTCCTTTACTCACTCACAGCCATGGACTCATGAGCCAGCCCGTCTCATCCTCTGTGCCAGCCTTTTCTTTTTCCTTGCTCATCAGTCCAGAGAAAACTTTCCAGATCACAGGATCCTGCTGTTTCCAGTCCCCTGGAGGAGACAGAGGTGTTGTATTGATGCCTTCATGTGAGACTCACATAAAAGTGTGAGGCCAAGAGGAGAAACCTCTGCCACAGCCCTTGGCCGGACCATACCATGAGTGCTTAAGTAGAGATCTCTGCTATTATCTGAGAAACAACCCTGTGACCCAAAAAATCTGATGGTGTGATTCATCCTGTTTCCTTTGCAAGCCTCGGTTTCCCACTCTTTTTTTTTTTCACATGAGGTTTGCCTTTTGCATTCTTTCCTATTTAGAAGTAAATCAGAAAGCTTTTAAAAACCTGTGCTGTCTCAGCTCAGCAGCGAGCTTGTGCCTTGCCTTCAAGTTATCAAATTTCCCTTAGATGTTTCTCTTTATTGAAAACCTGCAGTTGAATTAAGGGGATTCTGCTACAGTGGTGTGTTGTTTGGGTTTTTTTTCCAAAAGCTTTAGGTCTTCACTGCAAGGATTTCATTTGCAGGAAAGAACTAAACTCTCTCCTGCTGTGCTGAATGTGCAGAGCAGTGGGGAGCAATGGCAGTGGGTTGATCTCAGAGTGTTGCTGAATTAAGTCCTGGCTCTGTGAAGCAGCATGATGGTCTATTCTTTCCAAAATCTGATGGCATGTTCAGGTTGAATCATAGACTGTCCTGAGCTGGACCAACAAGGAACATCAAGTCCAACTCCTGGCACTGCCCAAGAATCCCACCAGATGTTGATGTGATGGATCCCATCATCCCTGAGAGTGTTGTCCAAATGCTTCCTAAACTCTGTCAGGGTTGGTGCTGTGACTACTGTGCCCCTCTCCCGGGGTGAAGAACATTTCCTGATATCCAGCCTAGGTGGTGGGACAGGGGTGAAGGCTGGAGGAAACCATCCAGCTTTTTCTCCTGCAGAAGGAACATCCCAGTGCCTGGACACCCATGTGGGAGATGGCTTCAAACAGCAGCACAACCACCCCTTGCTTTCCTTTCCTGAAGCTTCACAGCCCTCTCTAAAAGTCTTTCTCAATCTTAGCAAATCCCTTCCTACAGCAATGAGCCCCTCTTGCACTGCCAGCTGCTTCAGAGAGGCAGCTTGGGGAAGGATTTCCCCAGAGAAGGGAGGAAATACACCTGGAGCCCAAATATTGCTCCCAGGCCCCACCTTGGAGCAACCTTGGCTCTTTGTTAGCAGAGAGGTGGGTGTCATGGAGCAGCATGAATGGTGGTGAGCCAGAGCCATCCCTGTGCTGGGCTGGAGCTCTGCTCCACATGGAGCAGATGATGGACCAGTGTTGGTCCCTGTTCCCATTCTCTCCCCTGCCTGGCACAACTGGGACACATCCCTAAACCCAGCCCTGCAGAAGCAGTGAATGTCTCCTCTCAGCCCCTGGGAAAAATCTGCTCTGGAGG